ATATAACTTGAAACAAGATCAGTTTAATGCTTTTCTTGAACACGTGTTACCTGAAATCTCCACATATTCAGAACAAAGGACAAATTTTAAATAAATATTATAATACTAGAAAAGAAGAGAAACACGTGGTATATTCATATACTGCACATTTTAAACATGATTACTAGAATATCAGATTACTTTTTGTGGGAAAAGAACACACACCACCAATTGAAATATCTTAAGCCTCAAAATATTCATACTTAATAATGGAAATATTACCTGCAGTAAATCACATATACATATCTATGAATGTATATTTCCAATTATATTTATGTATCGTTCTTATCATGGGACAAAAGCATGTAATTGTGAATTTTCTCACAAACGACCGACAGTTATTTAACTCTTTCATTGACCATACCACCACGAAGAAAGGGTATTCCCCTTAAAAACGTTTACCGATTTGAAGTTCCAGAAAAGTAATGAAATATTATAATTCTAAACGCGGTGCCACAGTGGCACAGCGGTATGTTTGCAAATTTATAACGCTAGAAAACAGGTTGCGAGACTCGTGATGGGCAGAGCACAGGTAGCCCTTTGTGTAGCTTTGTACTTAACTACAAATAAACTAAACGTAGTAGTAAAAGAGTCAATGTGCCTTTCTTATGTAATATTCTGAGAAACAATGATCCTCTTCAAATATCTGTTCCAACTACGAGATGTACAAAATAAATATCATGGAACTGAAGCTCTAACCAAACTGAGCTGAAGGAAAGAAACTCGATACAAATTAGAACAGTCTTAAGAACATACTTTTATTTGAATGTATAACAAATGTGCAACTCTGTACAGTTAGGATGAATGCACAAAACAAAATACAGCGTTTCCTTCAAATAATTGAGAGATCTCACAAGGAGAAAATCTTAATAAGACTAAGAGAATTAACTAATATGAATTTCTTACAGTACATTAACCTTCCCAGGATGTATTTTGTAGCCCTCATCACTTGGTCATCCCTTAAATAAAAATAGAAATGGTATAGTTTTCAGTTATTTCAAATCCTCTACATGACTGATGTTATTATGGAACTCATAAGTACTAGCTTAAGTAATTCTAAAGTGACATCTTTCATGGGAGACTTTAGAAACACCAAAAGGGGAATGATCTTTGATATTGTGTGATTAGTTCAAGAACAAGGTAATCTCATTCTGAAATCAGTTATTTGCATGTTACTAGTATTAAATGTGCGACAAAAGCATGCATATGTTTTTGAAAACAGGATATGTTCACTTTTCTAAGCTAAAAGAAACACCTGGCATGTTTCACACACAATGTTGACGCTTACGTGCCATATAAAATAATTATGTTACAAAATCAAGCTTTACGTGAGCTTAGTACTGTACTAATGACATGTTTCATCCTCCTATCGTTTCTAACCTATGATTGTTACCAAGTTTATTTCCTGGTGTTAAAACCTTGTGAACTCTTAATTGAAAATTACTGTGCTTCACTTTGCCTTGGAATAATTACCTCACTTTTAGCTCTATTGCTTATATTTAAGTTAGATAAGGGGAGCCTCCTTTCATAATAGCAAATCCTCACTTGATATTTAAGCTCCAAAATTTTATATTTACTGATTGAGAACTTCTCATTTAAAACCCTTACAAATACTTTTCTTCGAAGATGTATACTTCAAATGAAGTAACTGCAGTTTTTATTAAAGGCTGTTTTAGAATAATAAACACAGAGGTTTTGTTTCTATTTGGTGATTAAATATATAGTAAACTATACGCTAGTAATGTTACATCTCTTTCCAAGTATTATGGTAATCATATATTCACTACAAAAATCAAATTTCTGCAAAATGCAGATTCCAAAAATGTTACTCATGGTGTTAAAATGAACATGGATTGACAGCAGAATCAATAAACGTATACACCACAAAGATAACATAATAAGAGAGAGATTAAAATCCAAAATCAAGCAGAGGCCTCAATTTTATGTCAGACTGAGGTTGCAGTTTAGTACTCCATAATCATTGTGTTGCCTACATCATCAATCATTCCAAGTAAACATTCAAAGGAAAGGATTTCCAACTCATACTAACTTGTAAACATTTCTTTACCACTCCTTAAAATTAGCATAACTTCACCCTGTGTATCAAGCATTGTAGTTTGTAATGTTTGTCTAAATAAGAGGATAAGTGCAAGTTTACAACCTTCCTTATCTAATTTACCAAGAAGGCACTAACTACAACACCAGCATGAAGATTTTGGAAAATTGTTTGAACACACTTGAATAAAGATGTGTTTTATAGTATTTATGGAATGGTAAAATTACAACTTCCAACAACTATCACAAGGCTTTTCTCAAATGTCATCAATATTACCTCTCTTCATCTTGTGGCTTTCTAATCATTATAACCAAGAGGCTGTCAATGAAAAATAATTAGGCACTAATGCAATAAGCTATTTACAAGCTTTGACTTTTATATGTATGTATACAAAGGTTCAGTATGTTCTATTAATAGAATTTTGGAAGTTCATCATGTCAATTACAGTCTATATCACCACATCCAGTCATTTTGAAAATAGCCCTGCAACGAAGTTTCTATTGCAAAAGGCTGCCATGTGCAAAACATGTCCCTGTTTGCTTTTTGTAAGACAGCTAGTGTACATGGATGGTGGTTTTTCTTTCCAGTGATCATTTTGACATTCCGATTGCACAGAAATCATAGGTGCTACATGCGGCGATTTGACAAGTATGTCTTTGTATGGAATAGCGCGAATACCCATTTCATTTTTTATCTGCTTGAGGTATGCAACGGTTGAATGGAAGATATTACTGAAAGTCTTATTTTCGTAAACCCATATCATGTTGGCCTTGTTTCCGTATGGAGTTCCTTCTTGATCATGTTACGTAATGTTTCCTGGGATACGTGGATAGCTTTGATCTTTGTGTTCATGAATTCTAACCTAAGTAAATTGACAAACAAGGATTTATAAGCATAATGGTTATATTTTAAGAAATACTGAACATCGATCTGTCTTTTTCAGGTATTATCTAAAGTTAAGCGTACAGGGTTTATATACAAAATTAAAAATACAAAGACAAACGGGTTAAATGTTAACCAATGTTGTCACCTAGCGAAAGAATTGTAGTTAAAGACAAGGCTGATCATGTGTATGAACTAAATAAACTCAGCCAAATTTGGCTGATGTTGCTAGGAAGGTTGTCACATTTTAGTGAAAGATAGCCTGCTTTGATGATTTCTATTGTTTCTAAAGAATCTTTAGTTTTTTGTTGGTGTGGGAGAAACATTTCGTCCCAAAGTATTTTGTGACCTGGTTCAAATTGATGACATATTAAAGTAGATATATGAAACTCACTTCTGCACGTGACCTTAGTGTTCTTTGCGTCTTATTTCCAAGAAACTTGACATTTGTCCTATATAATTCTTACCACATTCGCATGGGATACGATATATGCTTTATTTTTTGTTCCTTCAGTAGAAGTTGTGTCAAGTTAGGTAGTAAGATGTTTATCTTGGAGAAAGTGTAAATACAGTTTTTATACTTAAATTTAGGTTATTATATAGGCTGGTAATTTCATTAGCAATTTCAATATTGTTCTAGTAATTATAGGTCCATTAGTCTTGCATATTTTAAAAGTCTGATAAAAGATGCTTTAACACAATTTCAAATTTTGTTTGATGGCCAGCATGGTTTCGCTGGGAAAAAAACTTGCCTTAATTTTTTGACACTCTTTGAAGAGATTACTACTTATGTGTATGAAGGTATGGGTGTGGATTTGATGTATCGGATTTTTCAAAAAGCATTTGACAAAGTGCTACATAAAGGGCTTGTTAAAAATGTTACCTCTGTAGGCATGGGGGATATGTTAACTCGATGGATAGAAAATTGGCTGGATTGAAGAAAGCAGAGGTTTATTATAAATGCAGTTCAACCAAGCTGGATTAAAGTCAGAAGTGGAATACTTCTGGGCTCAATGTTAGGAACTTTGATCTTATTGATTTATATCAAGGACACAGATGGTCAATAAATATTTAAATTTGCTAATGATATTAAAATTGTATGCTTTGTTGGTTGTGAAGAGGATACTGCTAATTTATAAAGGATTTGTATTATTTGGCGAGTTGGGCAAATAAATAGCAAATGGCTTTTAATTATAATTAATGTAAAGTAGTGCATGATGGATATCATGATTTGAATTATGAGTATCATTTTGATAGGAATAATCTTAACAGTGTTATGGAAGAAAATTATGTTGGTGTTCTGGTTTATCAGTCTCCTAAGCCATCCAAGAAACCTGCTGTTGCTAGTGGCAGGGCAAATAGGATTTTAGGTTGTATGTACAAAAATACTGAATACTAATCTTAAGAGAGGTTACAATATCGTTGTATAGGTCATTAGCTAGCCCATATTTATTGTACTGTGTCCAGTTTGGGGCTCCTTACTTTAGAACAGACATTGAATTACTGGAAAGAATTAGGAGAAGGGCTACTATGATAATAATTGGGATGAAAAGGTTGACACACAAGTATAGGTTAAGATCTCTGAACTTTTCTCTTGAAAAAAGAAGAGTTAGAGGGGATCTGATTGAAGTGTTTAAGATTGTGAAGAGAAAAGATAGTGTTGATACATCATCTTTTTTTGTATTTAATGATGTGACTGGTAAGACTAGGTGATACAAATATAAATTTTGGTAGGGTAGAAATGAACTTCAGCCGAGATAACTTTATTTTTCTAAGAGGGTGGTTGGCCCCAGGAATGAGTTGCCTTCAGGTATGGTAGATGCAGTTAATTTAAGGAAGTTTAAAATAAGTGTTAATAAATACATGAATGATAAGGGCTAGCTTTGAGTGTTTTATTTTTATTATAGAGTTTAGTGTAGTGAATGAGATAGCCTAGATGGACCAATAAGGTCCCTTGTTGTCCTTAAATTATTGGTGTGTACCACCATAAAATTGAAAAAGAAAACACCAAGATACACAAAAAGACCATATATATATATAGTTTTATTATTGACTAGAATTAAGTACTTCACAGTAGACATCAAGAACATTTAGAATACAGTAAGTGTAAGTCATACTGCTCTGTAACATAAACAACATAAAAAACAACAACAACAATAAATGATCTTTATTTGTTGCATAATAATATTAATGTCGGTAAGTAAAAATTAACTGTTTGTTATTAATCCACTTCATGAGTAACCAAAAGCAGAAAGTACAGGTATGACATGTTACAACCTTAAAATTCTGTCAAGTGGTGTAAGCTTCAAACTATCATTGCATGAAAACAGTAATAAGCAACAAATCTACCACAACAACAAAAGTCAAATTGTAAAGAAATACCCCTTTTACTATATTGTAATTAACTAATCATTACTGCCAGGATTTCTTTAATACATATGAACTTAACTTTCTGACATTATAACATTATTATCCATGTAAAGAAGGTTTGTGTCTTTAATGTACATATTACAAATACTTTCCCCACAGCTCAAAAACTATGAATGACAACTAAATGCTTCATTCACATTGATGAAGCTCAATTTTTCAAAACAAGAAAATAGTTTAACCCATGTTTAATTCCACCCAATGCAAATTACAATTACAGAGTCAGTAAACCTCACACAAAATTTCTGTGTTATGTCCAAAGTAAAAATGTTTGTTATTTCTGAAGATATTTTACACTAGAAAAATTTTACTGTAATAAAATTTCTCACTCACTTCTGAAGAATATTTTAAGTACATGGCTTGACTTTCTGATGCATTAAGTTTGCTTTATTACTACAATATGCTGTCTAAAATAAGACAGTGTCTGAACTCGCAAAGTAAAAATTTATATTTGCACTTAAAAATATGTAGACTACCTTTTTTCTCTTATCTATTTTTACTTAAATATAACAGTATTTAATTTTCAAACATCCACTGTACTTAAACAACTGACAAAAATGTATGTGTAATCCAAGTAGGGAATGAATGGCTTGCAATGAGAATTCTACAGAACAATATTATGTAAAGAATTTTATAAGATTGTGCATATATAAAAAAGGTGTCAAAATTCATCAGATCCAAGTTTTGCCTACAGATTTAGACTACATAAATATAAAATTAGTTCATACTCTATTGATCCTTTCCACAATGTAATTGTTAGAGTTATTCAACAATATTATTAAACCAATATACACACACTTTCAATTTTGTAACTGTTACAGGTTTTGCATGTCATGCTTAACTTATTTTATATCCTTATCCTAATACAGAGTTGCTACATTAATAATAGTGTAAGGCTACTTCTTTAAAACTGTATTATTAACACACTATCCACTACATCCTTAATAATCAACAAAAATATTTAATTAAATTTATTGTTCCCTTGAAATGTTATAATTAACGTAACGTTTAATTTGCAGCTCTTCACTACAGTTCTTTGACTTGCAAGATGATAATATCTACTTATTATAACTTGTATGGGCCAAACATGATGTCATCATTCTTAAAATGTTCAAGTGCTTAGCTACAATACTATTCTATATGGTCTATTCTAAACCTAAATTCAGACTTAAGCACACTAATCAAAATAAAATCAACAAATTAAAAATAGAAACATACTACGGTTGCAATCTTTTGTTTTATCATGTGAACTGAAATACAAATTTTCTAAGAAATTTAATTAAATTATTATTAAGCAATAAATATTCAAGTCATTCCATACTCTTCCCAACATACAATAAATAATAACATACTAATAGTATTAGACTTGTGAAAGGCCTCAAAAGTCAACAAATAAATAAAGATTCCAATTTTATTTTGAAAACTGATGCTTATTTGTTTGATTCACTGCATACTCATTAACTCAACAATAGTTCAAATTGGTTTTACTGGCTACAAATCACTTAACATGAAATTTAAAGTACACAAAATCTAGCCACTGAGAACACAAATTATGTACTTTATGATGGAAATATACATTTAAAAACTAAATACACAATGGAATGTTTTTCACACACAGTAACGAAGTCAGATGTTTAATCTGAAAATGATGTTAGAGACAGAAATATAATGCCAAGACCTAAGTTCAGACTTCTATTTAAATATTAATTCTAGATTTGTTAAAAATTGTAAAAACATAATATCAATGACTTACTTGTTTGCAAAATGAAATCAATTTCTATTTTCAAACTTTGAATGTATAACTGCCTGAGAATAATAATTAAATAATACACCCTAATGACTGATAACATCATGAAACCTTTGGTTTAACAATGATAAACAAAGTTGTTTTTGGTACCTCTAAACATGTACATATAGCTCTAGCCACCAACAGATTTCTAGGTAATTATGAAAACATACTGTTTAGTACTAACATGGTAAACAGATACGCTGGTATGTACATTGACAATATTAACAATTATACACCCACAACACTGACTGTGCTTTAAGATGATACCAGAAAATATATATATATACATATAGAGATAAAGGCTTTATTCCAATCTTAACTGACAACAGTGAAAAATATACATAAATGCATTTTGAAGTGGAAGAATTAGACACAATACCTAATGCTATGGTTCAAAAACATCTCATGTCCAACACAAAATCTATTTCGAAACTGAAATGCCCTCAGATCATAGCCTCCTTATTGCCCCTATTTATCCACAATATTTTTATATTAGTTCAGAAAATACGGACTCCAATTTCCTATAATTATAATCAAAACACAAGTTTGGAAATTTGAAGTTTTTCTAAATAAAAGATAAAAATATTTTCAAGACATAGTGCAAAACAACAATTTTGTGAAAAATTAGAACTCTTCCATTGTGGTTTATATTCAATATGCTCTTCTGGAAATGTTAGTACCCATTAAGTTGAACTTAATGTATATAATTATAAAATATAATTAACATCAAACATGCTTTATAATGGATATTTTATGTCTGTGTAGCAGTTACAAAAAAACCATAAGTACTAGATGTGCATGCTAGTCACAAATAACTATCATATCCCTTTGCCGTAATAGGTTTTTCAACCACAGAAAGAAAAAGGCTATTAACATTACATATAAAAATAAGTAATAGTGAACTTTATACAGTTAGTATTTCTATAATTCAGAAATATTTGAGACCATGAGACCACTAATAAAGGTAATATAGTTAAAATAAGTATCTTATCTGACATGACACTATTTCATACTGAAGATTAAAACAAAATGCTTAAAATGAAAAGAAACTGATAAAAAGGCACACCTGCAGAAAAACTAAGTGTATGAAGAAGAAATTACATGGCAGCAACACAATTCTTATTCAGGTAAGTTAGTGATAAGGTAGGAGTTTATGATTAACACAGAAAATATTGTTCAAACCTACAAGTCACTACTGTTACCAGTATGATTACATAACAATGCACTTAAATTAGTTAAGATACACAACTTCTTACTTTACATCATATTCTAAATAAGTTTATTTTTACATCTCTCTTACCAAAGAGGTTTGAATTTCTCATTTAAAGTACAATAAAAAACTTAAAGAAATTAACTATTTTGAACTACACACAAAACTCATACACCAACAAAAATGCACAAAAAATCACACTAACAGAAGTATTCAATTGACAACTGCACAGAAACTCTGTATGACAACATTAACCATAAACATACATTGTAGATTAACGACACCAAAATAATTACATCTTGTGAAAACAAATAATACACACAAAAAATCACACTAACAGAAGTAGTTCAACTGACAACTGCACAGAAACTCTGTATGACAACATTAACCATAAACATACATTGTAGATTAATGACACTGAAATATTTAAATCTTTTGAAAACAAATAATACACAACTTAATGACAAGTTGTGAAGATTCGGTTCTGAATTTTACTAGATGATACTCTGGTACCATACAAAAATAAAAAAAGTTTACAATTAAAAACCAAAAATCTGATTAGTCCATATACTATCTGTCTTAATGAATGTGTGTTATAAATGGAAGTAAAGTTACAGAAACAATCAGTGACATACTTTGAATTTTATCCATTCAATATTGTAAAGTATAAAGCATCAGCTTTATTTTTTCAGAACCCCAACATTCTAGTGTTTTAAAATTACCTTGATGCTAGTAAAATAAAGAACTTTGCTAAACATAAAGTAAAGCTTTAAAGCACTAATCAAGGGCTATCCACTTTCTTAATACTAATGCATATAACAATGGGACAAGTCAAATATAGAAATGTAATGTGCTAAATCACAACTACTCAGCTCTAAAACACTAATGATTCCTTCTCATACTAACCAAGCAAAAGTAACCAACTAAACAAACTGTACTCCAACATCCATACCATACAGCAGACTGCATTATGTACCATCTACATGTATGGCACATAAGAAAGGTTTAATATCCTTTCGAATCTGAACTGCCACAACCATGCATATCAATAAGTTGGTTGCTGGAAAGCATTGCTGGTGCCTGGAGGAAGTTTCTCAGACTGGCTCCCTGTAGAGAATGGAGGTTCCTGGTAGGCTTCGTTTATGTCTGGACCATCAGGGTAACCACCAAATGGAATATCTCCTGGAATTGCATTGGGATCTGCTTCATAGCTAGGAGCAAATGCTGAATCAACACCTTGTCGATATCGCTGGAAAGCTAAGAATGCACAACCAGCCTGAAAATAAAACAATTTGTATGTAGTAGGCTAAAATCATTTGATACAAATAAATAAATATAAAATGTGTGTCTACATATGTATGTATAATATATACAAAAATACATCAATCCTCTATTTCTGGCAACTGTCAATTACCTTTCAATTCAGTTTATTTTCTCCCTATTTATTTACTTTAGTGTTGCATAGTTGATAATTAAGTATTTTAAACATTTTCCACTATGTTCTAATTAATTTTAAAAATTTAAATTTTAACCACAAAATAGTATAATTATATGCAAATTTCAAAACCACAAGCATAATCAACCACTATAATTCTTTTCTACTTATCATTAAGGATAGTAGTAGTACTTAATATTAAGGATCGTGAAGAAACAAAATGGTGGCCATAAAAATTGCCCATATAAAACCACCTTTAAAATGTCTGAATATTAACAATGACTATTTCACAGTATTGGCTGAGCAAAACTAAAGCTTACTGTACTTAAATCACTTTATACATGTTTATAGAGTGAATCAAAATTTCATTATTTCAGCACATTTTCATCTAAGTACATAAGTGACTTTTCCAGACAATTGTACAGAAAAAATGATGAACCTTATTGCTCAAATTCTTTCCCAGAACCCTTCCATTTAAGGTCCCAAGGATTCCTTTCTTGTACAGAAAAGGATACCAATATACATACATATATATATATATATATATATATAATGGATATGATGCGCTACTTTGAGCATATAATTAGATTTGAGGGAAGGTTGATAGAGATTCTGATGAGATAAAATCAAACCCAGTATACACATGCCCCACGCTGCACAAAAATATTGCTAATAAAATGGAAAAAAACAAATATGATAAAAAAAATTGTAAATTTTATAAAGACAAGTAGGGATCGATATATACATAACCTAGCTAGCTATAGTAATAAAGAAAGTTTTAATATTACAAAATGTATTGGAAAAAGAAAGTAAAACAACAAAAATTTAATTATTTAAAATTAAATACAATTTATCTCTACTTTGGCTCAGACTAGCATAGTAACAATGATTTGCCAAAGTAGGGATAAAAAATTTTAAATTTTAATTAGCTCAGTTTTTGTAGTTCTGACTTTCTTATTTCCGTACCTTTTGTAGCATTAAAACTTTCTAAATTACTGTAGTTAGCTAGGTTACATGCATATCAATCCCAACTTGTCTTTATGAAATTTAACAGGCCCCTCACGAGCCAGTGGGGGACATTTTTGTTGAGAAAACTGCCCAATCCAGTTTTTCTTAATTTGAACTGAAATTTTTTGGTCATTTTTATTGGCTAAAAAGAAAGCATTTTCCACACTCTTTTTAGCATTGGGGCTGCAAAATGTGATTTGAAGTGGTAAGGTGACTGAAATCCATCAGCACATCACGAGCTTAATGGCCAAGCACAAAAAGCATGGAAGTCTCCAAATGACACTCAGAGGTATTCAGGAACCATTTAGAACCACCTTGGGAGATATTATGCAGCAAGCCAAGTACAATATTATGCCTGTAGCTACTTTCAAAGTGTTCCTGTCTGCTCATCCTATTGCTGACTATCATGATGCTTCGACCTTCCCTACCAAATCGCAGGTGAAATCGTTCATATCTCAATTGAAAACTAATCGTAAAAGGTTGGCAATTGTTTAATTAATGATGCTGAGAATGTGGTTTTATTGATATATATACTGAATTTACTCCCAGCGGGTAGACCTTATCACTAACTAGTATGGAGACTTGAGGATGATGCATTTCACTTAAATATTTATCAATTAACAAATGAAAACTTGTCTTGAAAAGATACATTCAAAACCACCCTCTTTGGGAATTTCCGGATTGAACTTACTTTTAATATTCAACAAATTTTAGTGTAAAGACACCTCTTGGCTCCTGAGGGACATGTTAAAAATCTTGTACTTACTGTATACTGGCACTAATTTAGCTAAGTATATGAAGGACACAATTACATTACATTTATTTATTGTAACAGTTGATTGTTTTTCATATGCAATGATATTTTTCAAATACACTTTTATAAACAATAAATTCTATAACATTAACTTTTGCTATAAGTCAAAAATAAAATTAAAACCGAACTTATCATTCCTATTTTTTAGGAGAAACTGAACCAAAATTATGTTAAAAGCAGCAAGTGTGGTAACCATTAAATATTTCTTGAATAATAAACACACTTACTCAAGTGAGTGTACATTAGGAAACATGGCTTCAAAATGTTCCTTCACATTCATCTCATAATTTACACTGCAATGTTTGTTGTTAATTTTTACAATACTAACTCTGTCAATGTGATAAATTTTGAAGTTCAACCTTTCATCTTGTATACTTACCACTGCGTGTGTTTTGTGTGTGTTTGAATATATGAATATATCACTGTCTGGAACATGGTAGGAAAGATTAAAGTGATAATAAATCGAAAATGCAGGTACATTTTTCTGTGCCTTAGTGACTCATAACCCAAGTTACTCCATGCTTATGCATCTAACATTACTACAGAAAAATTGGCACACCAATCTGTTTAATGTGTAATTGATGACAAATTATCAATCAGTAGCAAAAACAGTTGCCAGATAAGCATACTTGTTTGTTAATTCCAGAGGTCACACAATCAGGTAATCACTTTGGCTTCCCCCACAGCAAAATTTGAGCTGACTTTATTTTTCAGCCTAATCAGCCAAGTTCACTTGCCATACCAAAGGCAACAAATAATATCATCACATTTAGTTTCCAAACTCTCAACATAAGTGAATCAAATTGTGGAGACATTCTGAAGAAAAAAGTTTTTAAGTTACAAAAATAACATAATTCGATATTTAATGCTTCAAACTGCATGTATGCATGTACACACACACACACATTTCCTTTAATTAAGCTGTTTTTATGCTGTAAATGCATTTGAAATATGAAGTCACCTATTTTCAAAACCTTCTCCTGTTGGTACCTGGAGAGAGAAATTTTTGGAATCTGACTCAATCCCTGAATTCTGTGAGTAGTAAAAACTAACAGTTCAAAGTTTTGTAGGAAGAAAAATTTGAGATATATCCCGTGTATCACAAATCACTGCCGTTGCTTTCTTATTCAATAACAAATCATCAGCTAGGCCAAGCTTATAATAACCAAAAATTCACTTTAAATGGTATTTGTATGCAATACAATAAATTTAAAATTGAGTATAAATATTGCAGCTGGCAAAGCATGCTTATTGATATGACTTAATGCAAAACTTCAAGTTTTGCCCAAAAGATGGCAGAACAAACACAATCTATTGCGGTACACTAAAATTTTTTTTTTTAATCCTTATGTACTCAGATCTCATTTACAGAATCCATCTTTAAAAAGAAGGCACTGTAATGCATGAACAATATAAAAGTACTTATTAAAAAATCTAATATATATGCATGTGTTTGTATATGTACAGTACAATTCTATAGATCTGAGTCTAAGGTATCAACACTGAAGTTTTCAAAAGTAGTAGTTTTAATTGACGTGTTACATTTATACTCAATATTACAATATTAGGGGTAATAAGTTCATTTTGGAACATAAATATAATAAATTATTAATCTTCCTACAGTTTCTGTAGACTAATTGGTTTCTACTTTAAACTGGTGTTAAAAATTTTCAATTGGATTATCAGCAAGGCCTTGCCACTATGAAATGACCACTTCATAACTTTTATATCACCAACTCTTTCCTTTACCACCAAATACATGCACATCTGAGTAAGCAGGGCAATATATTTTGGATCATTAGCCTGATAAAATGCAAAGCTACTTCTAGTTAAACATCATCCACTGTGCAATAAACCATGGTGTTGCAATACTCTTCCTTCATAATAACTCCTGCAAAGAACATCACAACGTAGATTCATTAATACATTTCACCAATTTGCTCAAACACACTTCTTTACAATTCTCATGGCAAACTCTTCACAAGAATATTTACCTCGAGTTTCCAAAAAGCTTAATCATAATTTTTGGAACTCCTCATTGTTCCATTTATTCTTCCATTTTTTGTGATCCTTTGCAAAGTTTAAATGTTTAACCATGTTCATACACAAAATATTAGAATTTCTGGTTACAACTTTCAAAGTAGACCACTTTCTTACAACCACTTTCAAACAATTTTATAGCTGATTCCATGCATATCTAGCATTTATTTCAGGGATTTTTTTTACTCAATTTGGTGCTGGTATTCTTCAAATAATGCAACTTTTTCCTCTGTATTTTTTTCTTGGACATTCCTTCTTATCAAACTATAAACTACCACTTGCAACAAAAAAAAACACTATGTTTTTTGAAACACGTTTTTGAGTTTTGAGCAGTGTACTTTTGTTTTCTTTTCATTATATAAAATAAGAATCTGTGTTCAATCTTACTTTTTAATTTGAACTTAGGTTTATTTCTTTTAGAAAAGATTAGACAACTTAATACATAGTAAATTTTATTAAAATGTTAAAATAAACATGTCTTGATGCTATTATAATTGCATAAGACATTTTATTTAATTTATATAGTAATTATTATTCTTAGTTTTAGCCATGATGAAATAATAAGTGAATATATCACAACATAGCAAGAGACAAAGTTAATGTTTGCCAAGAATGGATCCCATTAATGCAACTTTTGATAACAAAGTTAGTTTTCTTCTTTATTGGATTCAGGCTTATGACTAATTGCTAATTGATTAATTGACAGGGTCATTAATCCATTACATTTGATTAATCAATTAGTACACCATGTCCTGTTACAACCTATATAAAACAAAAAGGGTATGTACTTGCCATCATATCTTTTTTTAATCACTGCGTTATTCAAACGTGGCATTAATTTTGGTTATTTTTTAACGTAACTTTTGAATTACCCTTCAGTTCATAGTATAGACCTCTTCTGAAGGTTGCCATTTGGAAAAAACATTTCATGATTACATTAGCATATAATTAAGTAGCCAGTTAGACAATTTAACTATTCAAGAAAGATTTGAGTTATAACAAAATTTTTCAATTACCTAATATACTCACTAAACTGTAAACTTATTTGGTGACAATTGTATGTTATTTTGTGAACATAATTAAAAACCTAATGTATACAAATATTGCAACTCAATAAAACCATAGTATTTATATCAAAAAGTAAAAGCATGGAAATTTTAAACAAAGAACCAAACATTAACAAGATACATTCATTAAGCTTTAAGCAATTTCCATCATGTAACTTTTTTTTCATACTGTGTTTATATATCTATATATATATATTCCTATGTCTACATGAACAACTTAAACATGATGACAAAACCTTCTTCAAACATTGTACATTTGTTGCTGTGTTATATTTTTAATAATTTTCTTTGTTACCCATTCAATCAGTTTCTGAGCTGTATAATATTACCTACATTATCTGACGTCTTCTTATTGAAGACAGTTTCTGTAGCTTTCAGATATGCAACTTAATACACAAATACTTTCATAATTCACAACAAAAGGAAAACATACAGAAATTAAATAAAAAAACACTTTTAAACCTATTTATTCACTTTATTAAAATGCAATAGTTAGTTCTTGCTCTATCCAATCATATTTAAAATTTCCTTATAGCATTTTCATAGCTGTTTTATTAGTAAATATTTAACCACTTGATATTACACCATATCAAAGTTTCTACCAAAGCCTGTACAAAAACTAAGAGAAATGCTTGAAGAACAAAAAATGGATAACATACTCTCAAGGGATGATAGGTTCTTAGTAAAAATAGTCATTCTTTGAAAATGGCAAAAAAATTCTTTGTTTACAGGCAGAACTCTTTGCAGTTGTGCAGAAACGAAAATATTGACTTTGTTTTTCATGATTTACACTAAATAAGTGTCAGAATAAGACAAAATATCCATTATAAAATATTTTTGAGTTAAAATTGTTTAATTACATAAAATTAACATATAAAATTGCCTTGAAAATTTGTGACAAAAATATATGAAAGATTACAATAATTTATGAATAAATTATTTTGTTACTCCTAAACAGCTGTATGTTAAAATGTATCGTATATATGCAAAGTAATACAAAACCTGTGAAAACCTGAAAATAACACAATTAAAAGCATTCTGCAGGTTTCTCCCTCAAAATTCTACAACACTACTGTACTAAAACAACTGAATTTTTGTTGATTAAAATAAATATATTACTTCATGACATTTTCAAAGAACCACAATAAAATATTTAAAAGAACGATTAGTTTCAGCTATAAGCCTACATCATGTGTAAGTTAAATTAACAACTTAGACAGCATAAACTTCATGTTTATGCCATCTAAATTGTTAAAATATTTCCTTCAGTTACCTCTCTATTTCTATAAATGTTAAGTTAGTTTAATACTTCTTTCTTTGTAGGAAATGTACTTATTTTTCAAAGCACATGCAAACATCAATACATGATGCTTGAAGCAATACTTATGTCAATAAAAAAGAAGAAGAAGAAAGAAATGTCAAAGCTATCTAGATGGAGTACTTGTTATCAAAGATTTTTCAAATATGTTAATTATGCATGTTTCAACATAAGTTAAACATTGTTAGAAATTAATACTTCGAGAAACTGTTACTAAGAGCAGGATATTGTAAGGGGGGGGTCCATCTAGACCTCTACTAGCAACACGAATAAATTTGTATTACGTTTGTTGTTTTTCTACTTATACATACACACTATTGTATCTTTAGTAACAAAATCAATTAGCCTACAATATCATTATCAGTAACTCAGTTGAGTTACGGGCCAATGATCTCAAAGCTTATATCTTTATTTCTTATAATATGATTCATATTAAAATTAAGATAGACATTTCAAATTTTGTAAAAGAAATTATACAGTTATAAAATTATAAAATCTATATATAAATCTATGATTTAGTATTCATAAAAAAGTATGTCTGATTTCATTTTTATTTTTCAGGTTATCATTTACACATTCATAGCACATACATTTTCACATTTATTTTGGGCATCAACAATAGAAAACACCTTTTCTTGAATATTATAACTTTCAAACAATGAAAAATCATCTTTGTAACAAGTATATAAGAGTCAAGTGTCTTAAGCAATACTAACTTTCACAAAACAAATCTCTAAAGTCTAGAGCACACACACACATCGTTAGTATGTCTGGCAAAAGTCAAGGTGTGAAGATTTCCATGGCAACGTTTAACCCTATCACAATTGGCTCATGTATTTTACACAACCTTGTAACCATGGTGGTATACATACTATGACACTGGAAGTACTTAATGTATCTTCACAAAATTTGGCAAGCTTTCAATAAACATTAAAAGTTTTTTGTAGACAAAAAAATCATACTTTTTAATTAAGTATTTTACTAAAACATTGTCTGTAATGATATGGCGTCAGTGTTGACTGCTCCGAATGCAAAGTTATTTTCATGTTCAGATTAAAAATACTTTTCTTCATCTGAAAATTTTCAAAGTTCCTTTGTGCAGTCCCTAAAACCTCTTAAATACATATCAAATGTTTTTTTTCAGAAAAACTTTATATTTTACCTGTTGATTTTTATACTATAATTTTATAAGGGGCTGGTTGATTGATTTGACTGGTTTTGTAAGCATCATAAAATAATTGTAACAGGAAACCACAAATGTTTATTCTAAGTAGCTTAAAGCTTATAACAGTGTACATCTGTTTATACTAAATTTTATTGTTTTATTGCCTTTTGAACTGTGTCTAACTAAAAATCCTGCCACACAAGTTGTAAATCACTCAGCAAATGCATAACTCACATTACCCTTTCGAATTATGTAACGCACAGACTGCTTGCGAGAATATCTCATGAAAAATTATTATTTTTATTTATTTTACATAAACTAACCTAACAAGTTTCTAATGTTTACATTTAAGTTACTTTTATAATAATAAATAGAGAATACACATGAAAAACAAAAAATATAGTATTTTTTTTGCTGTTGACAATGATGAAACTTAGTCCTACTTAGCCCCTCCCCAAGATCTGCATCTGCTTATAAAACTTTAAAGAATACTTTTATACAATTATAGATTAGAAATATAACAGTGCAAAGAAATAACAATAATATATTTACACTATTTATTACTTAAGTAGCCAGAGAGTTGACATAGGTACTACTACTATCCAGTTTCCTTCTCTTGAGTCTACTGTTCAAAATTAATGACAATTTCAAATAGCCTTAGTAGCCTTGCAATAACAAAGACAGGATAAGTAATAAATTTAGTGGCACAGGGAATAAAACCAGAAACCCTTAAATGATCAAGAATCTCACCAACCACCCATTATGTAGCTTTGCAGTTAACAGCAAACTCATGACAATATTCTGATTACTTGGAGATTCAAAATAATAATTAAACAAACCAAGACTCAGAATTGGCAAATCCAACTTTTTGTACATCAATGTTTTGGGTGTATGAAAACTTATAATTGTGGCAATTTTCCTATTGATTGCTGTAAATATGACCTCATATGAGTCCAAAATATACATTTTTGGGTTATTTATATTTGATCCCATAAAATCCTTAAAATGGCCTAAATAAATAAAAAAAACTTGTCTTGGCATATTGGACCATGGTACAATACTACCCAATTTCAAGTCAGTCTGCCAAGAAATGAAGAAATGGCAGTCGACTGAAAAGTTTGGACGAAGACAGATATACATAAAAAACAGTAAATAAACAAAAAACCTAAATATGATTTGTTAATTATTTTCATGACAGTTGATTTAATTGTAATTTTGATTAATCAACTGTTGGTATAATGAAAAATGATAATAATCGGAAACACTAATTTCAGTTAGCTGATTATTTCCATGACATTAATCAACTATTTGAAATTTTGATTAATCGATTAATTTATGGAACACATCAGTTTAATTGCTGCTAACAGTTAATTGATTATATCGATTAAAAATGCAAAGCCCGAATGACTAATACTATATTAATGTTTATACCAACAAAGTTGTTGTTTTATGGATACTTTTCTGATGATTATCAGAAAATACTAGAATAACATACAATTTTTAGAAATAACATACCCAAACAAATATAGAGAAAAAGCTGAAAGCAATAGCAGCACGTAGATTGTTGACTCCATATCCTCCCTCTGGGTAGTTGGACTTGCGCCAAACATCACTCAAGTAGCAGAAACCAACAAAGAACATGAATCCCCAAATAGCTGATATTAAAGAAAAAATAATCTTATATTTCAAATTCCTTTATTTATAATGTTCAGTGCTAGTACAATAATATCATAAATTTTGAAATATTTTCTATACCAAACCGTTCAATACCTTTACCAAACTTTTAAACTTTTTTTTTGGTTCTTCTTAAACTATCTTAACAACCATAGTCAAATTTACTGTCAAGTTTTATCAACAACAAGTAGATGGAAGCATTATCTTATTGCATATAAAAAATTCTATTCATGTTATACATAAAAAGTGATGCCATAAAACCAAGTAACTGACTTATGCTCAATAGCCTCTGTAATATAGTAGCAAAGAATAATGAAATACAAACCAGACATCCTTATCGTAACATAAAAAATTATTCTAGGGTTTGATTGTTTTGTAGTTAAGCACAAAGCTACACAAAGGGTTATCTGTGCTCTGCCAACCATGGGTCTACCCAGTTTCTAAAGGAACAAGTCTGCAGACATACCGCTGTGCATTTGGGGGGCATTTTTCTAGGGATAAACTACTATTACATTTTACTTTTTAAATGAAATTTAATCAGATAACTAACATTTATAGAAACTTTATTTAAAATCATGAATTTTTACAAAAGGCAGAAAATTAACTAACAAAAACCCTTAAGCAATAGAATGGGTTGGAAGATCAGTGATCTGCAAGAAGGTTTAACTGATATATTATTTTGATATGACTTTTATGATGTTTCGTACAAAAGAAGCAATACATTTACAACAACCAACTCTAAAAAGTGTCATGTGACATGATAAAAAAAAACTTCATTTCTTTAAGAAAAGTAACTGTCTAGCGCCACCAAGTGAATAAGGTAGTGAGGTTGGTTTCTACATGGTAAAAGGAACCATACAGTTGTAAGACAAAGCAAGACTTGTATCAAGAAACAAATATTGCTTTCATAAAGTCTGTTAAGAGCAGGATGATACGAAAATAATTAAAATGGAAAATAAATTTCCCTAGTTAAATACGAACAGTAACTTCTGAGTAAAGCAGCCTACCTACATAGAAAATAACTAAAAATTAACCCAGTAATTGATACACTTAATTTAATATACAGTTCTGACAAGGAGTATAAGATCATTTCCAGGAAGTTCAATGAAACTTTACTAAAACTTAAATGAAATTTTTAAAATATAAAAAGTTTCCAAAACATTGTTCAAGAGACACAACCATACCAATCTGAAAAGCTTTATTTCAACATTAAAAAATCTACACTTTTTAGCACTGAAATGAAATTAAGTTTTAGTTGTAAAAAGATGTGTTTCAAATCCCTTAGTATTCATCAAACAGGCTTACTCTACTATTCTCCTATATTACACTTTAATAATGAGTTTTAAAGTTTTAAAGATACTCTTTCAATAGGAAATCTCAGAAAAATTATAATCCAGAAAAAAAAATTAAACAGTCACCACTGAGGTGCTGAACAGAACTCATTACAGAGTAGAACAAAACATATCCAGAAGAGTGTATATTTGTCAAGTTGTAAACTAGAGACCTCAAGTGGGGAAGCATGTATGTTAACAATGTGCAATCATGTTAATCAGTGGATGACCCACGAAATGGCAAAGCAGATAGAAAACTTAAGGATGCAGTGATCACTCTGTGGTAAAGCAACTGCTGAGAACAAATCAATAGATAAGAGAGAAGATTCACAGCTTCAGGACCTTGATACATCTATATGGAAAATAGAGTCCAAGGTTAGATTAGATAACAAAGATGGCGTGACTTAGTGTCTCTTTATTTAATGATAGAGGGAAAAAACAGATTTTAAATGAACCAGTGCTACCTAACACTGAAGTAAATAGTAGAAAAAAAAAGGAATTACCCTCATTACTGCTAATAAATCCATATAATTTATGTATGCCAAAGATTCTACTTAACAGTATATATAATTGAAAAGAAAAAATGAAATGCAATGATTTAAAAAGCTTACAAAGAAAACAATATAAAATAATATTTGCATAATTTGATTATATATGTTTGTTAATAAATTTAGAAACATCATTCACCCCACTATGAAACTATTGTTAAATGCATGATTTCTTCCCTTTCTAGAGCTAGAGGTTGTTCTAAACTACAGCATCCAAAGATGATAAAACTAAAAACATGGCACTGAATCAGAATGTAAAGCACTCAATTACAACTTATGGAAATTAATAATTTTACCTCTAATAAAACAACAGTTAAAGTTTTGTATATTATGTGAAGGCGAGCTATGACATACAATAGATCATGTGAAAATTAGAATACCAGAAAAATTAAGATGAACTGAGAACCTAGATTGTTATAAAGAAGTTATAAAGAAGTAAAAAATGTAGATTTCAAAGTCAACAAGAAACAAACTGATAAAAATAAGATAACAATATTCAAACATAAGCCATCCAAAAAGAATAAAAGATGTTTAAAGGTTCTTCTGATAACTGATGAGGTGGATCAAGCTCAAAATCTCCAGCATCCTTCAGCCAGAGGATGAATAAATAATATGCAAACATAAAAGTTATCCTAAGAACATTAAAACTGCACTTAAAAAGCCAAACAACAGACTTATCTCCAAAAAATGAGAACAAGAAGAAAAGTCCTAGCATAAGCTCCACAAGACTTGAACATCACAAATGGGTACCATGAAGGTAACTGAATCTAAAAGCACAAATGAAGGAATTTTAGCAAATGAAAAGGAAGAATTCTCTGAAATCTCAAACAAAGATTGAACAGATTAATTCCTGAGACTGTAGAGAGAAAGAGAGAGAAAAACATAAAACAAATCAAAAGAAAAAATTGATGAAAATGTTTTTAAAACTTCTAAAGTAAATTTTTTTAAAGTCATGATAACAAAATGATGTCAACTGCCAGTGAGGACAATACAAAGTAAAGCAATGTTGACAAATGACTGGTGATAATAAGAGTGAATTCTGCAGGTGATACATACAGAAAATGAACTACTGAATGTGTAACAGCAAGATGAAGTTGCTCATTATGCAGGGGTCTTAAAAACTATGAGAAAATTTGTTAATATTCAACACCAAGATGGTAAACAGAAAATAAAAAGTGGAGACAATCTTGTTAACGACTCTTTGATGGAATAGTTACACGGAGTTCATACAGTGGTGAAGTACTGTGATCGGATAATTGAAGGATTTTTTTTTTGTCAGCTACATGCCCATCATGAATTGTCTGTAACAAACTTAGTAAAGCAATTAGGAATTGGAATTATCAACTTGAATAGCACGGTAGTTTTAAATGAATTAAATGGCCAGCTCACAAACCTCCATGACTATGATATAACCTTTACTAATCTTGAACTATTAACCATACTAAAGGTAGCCAACTAGCAGTACCTACCTATACAAGGGCTATATTTGGTGCTTGGAAGCAAGCACATGTAACTGACTATCAGATTGTTTTTGACTTTAGAAAAATTCCTTAATAAGTTAACTTATCCCTTCCTTGAAAAACATGCATTTACATGTGTCTAGTCAAGTGGTTGCAAATATTAAAATTACATGTAAATAGTTGAAATAAAATTCACATACCATTAATTCTCTTTTTGTGAAGATAATAATTTAATTGATCACTCTTAAGTATAATCAATACAACTTAGAACACTTTTGTTGGGAATTCTCAAAATTCTTCATCTAAACCCCCCTTTTCCACATTAGCTGGAGAAGCATGATTACAGTTAATTATACTTGTCATAAGATGTTAGTATTAACCCTATTATATTTATAACACTGGATTCTTCACTAAGCCCATTAAAGTTTTTAAAAAATTAGAAGAGTGTATATTAGTATCTCAATCACAAAATGTTCACCATATCCATTCCTAATGACACATTTTGTTCAACACAAAGTTTATCAGGCCAGCTCAGACACAAGAAGCACGATAGTGGTCGGAACACTACTTATACAAGCCATTTGTTACAACAACTGTTATGGTGTGAATACCTTTTCTAAGCTAGCAAAGCATTATTATAATTAATTGCACATAAGTATTAGGTCTATTATATTTTTAACACTACATACCTTTTTCAGTCCCTTGTGACTTTTCACATATACAGCAGGCTAAACATGTAACTTTGTTTAACGTTTTAATTGAAACAGCCTCCATTTCTCAAAATATTAAGTTAATATCTTCCAAAGATGCATGTGAGCAACATGGCCCAATATCACCAACATGACACACAGAAAAGGTTTATAAGCAACAGTTCCTCCTCTGTAATAACTGTTATTAAACAGAAAATAAATATTACTTTACATCTCGTAAACAAAATAAAGGATACCTGATTTAGTCATAAAGAAGAAATTATAAGGTGCCAATCTTAATACCTGATACATACATATACACTTATAAAGAAGAATGGAAACATAAGTGCATCTTACTAAAACACAGCTAGTAATTGGTCAGGTTGAAAACTTACCTGAGATCACCAAGTCAAATAGTACTGCTCTTCTCCGAATCTTAACACTGGAAATGTTCTCAAACATTCCTTCCAACATAATAAATCCAATGCTCAATAAAAATGCTATAACACCAACACCCACACCAAAGTTGCAAGCATTGGCATCATTATTATATGAGCATTTATCTTCTATCCACCCTTCAGCAGAGATGCATCCAAAAACTATAACAGCAAAAAGCTAGGTGGGGAGAAAAAATTGATTAAATACATACACACAGGTCTCATTACATCAAATTGATTTTATAAGTTGATCTCAAACAGCTACATTTAGAAAATTATTTATCAAAATCAATTTTTGTTCTTTTAACACTAACTTGATACAACTTCATTTTGTAAATTGGATAAGAAAAATTCATAGCAAAAACATATTTAGCAGTATTTCATAGAAACCTAATGTTATCATTCCTAAAAAAACAGAAAAATTATAAAATCTACCTGTTGATCCTTTGTAGTAACCTGATACAGTATCATTCTATAAAATAATTTCCTTACAAAGAGCAACATCTGAGAGTTATGAACACTGAAGATTAGAGTTATGAATAATGTTTAATATTTTTGTAGACTTAAGATTTCACCTTATATAAAAGAAAATCCATTCTTGCCTTAAAACATTAATCTAATATTTAGTTTTATTTGTTTACTACTTATAGTGGCTTTAAAACTTCCCAGACTGAAATTAAAATCACCTATAATTCTAACCTCATTAAGTTAACAGATGAAATCTTTATCTCATGGTAGAGTTTCTTAGTGATTTGATCTCTTTTGTCTGGTAATCTAAATTATCGTACAGCAAACAACAAATGAATAAAGGTCTACACTACTATTACATGTTGAGTTTGTACTGTTTATTTCAAGGTAACCATAGTCCCACTAGTTGTAAATCAGCTATAATAAGATCACCATGATCGCTTAACATTCCTCTGCCATTTAGCGCTGACCAGTGGGCAATTGTTAGCAATAAAAACAGAGCATCAGCAAGTGGGTGCTTGACCAATAAGAGTCAATGACATATCAAATGATAACTTTCTTCATGTTCTTCATTGTTCTGGATGGATTTTTTTTTGTATCCAGAAACATTTTCTATTTGAACACACACAAACCTTTGAAACAATTAATAAATATCTTTTGGTCCTAAGTTGGTATATATATATATATGTGTGTGTGTCTGCACAATTCCAACTAACAGCATGTCAAAAGCAAAACAGATGAATTGGAACTGTAGGCAGATGATATGTTGTCTTGATAACAGTTGGCATTATGTCATAACAGGTACACATTTAAAATCATAAATAATATTCAATGTTAAACTGGTACACAGTTAAAAACATTTTATTCATGCCCTTCTATGGCCTTCAAAAAGTTGAGAACTACATGTTTCGACGTTACGTCATCCTCAGGAGTTGTAACGTCGAA